AGACTTCTGGCAAGTTACAAACACGGTCCCTGGTGTTATGAGGTGTCTCCTGCTGTACACAACGGGTGCAAGCCTTCAGACCCTTCCCAAACAAAGATCCGTGCTGAAGGCAGGGACTAACTTGCCTCTGTAAAGGACACAGAACTAGGACAAAACCAGTGTACCTGCTTTTCTAAGTGACCATTGCACAAGGCTTGCGGACGGAAGGTTGCTAAGTCCCGGAGGGCACTGACAGGTGACTAGATTCCAAAAAAAGAGAGGAAACTCCACCTTAGGAAACCATTACTGCTCGTTGCAGACAAGGCTGTCAGGAATACAGGTAATGAAGGATTAGTAATGGAGAGACAGGAAAAGAAGTAATCTTAAAATAATTTTTGAATTCTTTTTGTGCCCAAGCAAGGCAAATGTAATAGGCACACATAAATGGTTACTTTCTCACACACCTGCAATATCTCTTAGGAGAAATAAACAAAAAAATTTGAGTACAGTAGAGTAAGGTTATATTCTTAAGAAGCTGGAATTCTTTTCTTTGTACATAGTAGTCTAACAAAATAAAAGACTGCTGCTTTTATCCAACACCGTCCTTACAGCAATTATATGTAAAATCCAAGTGTTCTTCTGAACCTACCTTCTTTTTTCTTTCCTATGTAACTAAAAAACAAAGTGGTTTGTGCCTGTAACAACCATTTATAATGTCTTTAAAAATACATTTTAATGCCTTTGGCTTTTCATCATTATTTTGAGCAGCTTAAGTCAACTGGGAACAAGATTCGTGGTTCTCGTGTTCTCATGTTGTAAGAACACAACAAATCAAGTTCTCATAGCAGCAGTCCGCCCTACCAAAAAGGATAGCCTTAATGTAAAGGGGAAGAGAAACATTCCATATCCATAATTAGATAAATAATACTTCAGGCAAGATATGGCACCTTTAAAAGTGCCTTTTCAGTCTTGGATTTCTCTCTGCTTGTTACTACAGAAACCATCTAGCAACCAGAATCTAAGACAGACTCCACCCAAAACAGAGAAAAACAATATAGACAGAGTAGGCTTTTCCTCCCCCGTTCCTTTTTTACTCCTTCCCCCCCCCCCTTTTTTTTTAAAGGGTGGGTGAGTGCTAAGGGAAAGTATCTTACGGTGCAAAGGATAGGAGCATTTTGCATGCAGTTGAAACAGTAAAACTCTGATTACAGATGGCAGAAATGAAAGCAGGGAATGAGTAATAAGCAATGAGAAATGCGTAATGCGGGATGAGGATATAATTTCCACACATCAGCTAAAGAAAGGTTTACACTCTTAAGCAATAAAAACAAACCATTAAGCCAGACCTGCACTGTCAGGAAGTATAAAACAGTTCTTGAAACTCTGCAGTTACTATACAAAAGCTTTTCATAAACTTTTGTTTCCTGATCTTCATAAAACATTAACATCAAGCTGCCATATGGCAATTAGCTGCCTCCTGAAATCAATAAAAAAACCCACCCCAAAATCAACAATTTAGGAATAGCTGTACAATAAAATAGTTCAATAATTATTCTCTTCTAATAGTGTAGCAGAGCGGGTCTAATATAAATGCAGTCCAGATGAGCTCCTTCTTCAAAAGCTGAGAGTACAATAAATCATGTTCCTCTCCAAGCCTCATCAGTACTGGTTGCACAAGTGAGACCTCGAACTGCCTAGCAGGGGAAAAGCAGGTGACTGTGGACACCCAAACCCACTTATCGTATGAGCAGGACAAGTCTCAGTGCCTGGTTATGGTGAGAGCCCAGGTTAGCACAGCAGAGCAGATCCTGCTCAGTGGAAATGGCCAATGCTCTCGGGAGAGCTTACCTCAACTGAAGATCTTCCCACGTCATTTTTACATGTTGCTGACCACAGAAGTCCAACTGAATTTTGCGCAAAAATTATCAAGCCACTTGACAAAGCTGTTACTGAGTCTCAAAAGGACAAGGAGAGATGCTGATCACATTTGTGTTTAGAGAGATGCTTATCTGAAATGCACAAAGGGTGACATTATCTATCACAATCTCTGCCTATATAGATTATATAACTGCCTAGAAGCAATATGTTTAGGGGAAACAGGCTATAGGGTAACAAAGGCAGTTTTGCCTTCCAGATGTTCTGCTTTTCCTCTTCTTAAGAGGAAAAAAAAACGCTCATTTCTTCTTGTAGAGTACTTTTAACACTACTAATTACTAAAAAACTAAAATAAGTACTGGAGTACTGTGATAACAGCATACCTTTAGTATTTAGGATTACTTAGTGGTCATTACCAGACTTAGATGTCAGAAAGCCCAAATCTTTCAGAATGACTGTCTGATCATCAACCCTATTTAGCAGAGCTCAGGAACCCAACTGATCTCTAGGAGAATTTTCTACTGCTCATGTATGAAAGCCTGTTTTGTTTCTTTTTTTAAAATCCTAAACAAACTCTTCAGTGCAGCACTCTCACATCTCTAATCTAGAGAGGTTAAGGGTTAAGAATTTAAAGATAGATTACAAAACCAATTCTGCAGAAATTTATTGACGTGCTGCGCTTGACACACGCATATTTCCTCCTCAAAATCAGTATGGAACCGATGATTCCGTGACTAACAGTAAGCAGGTATAGAAATGCTTACAAGAGTGGGTCTTAATAAGTTTACAATTATACATTGGCCTCACAGTGTATTTTACTAAGGATGCGATTCTTTGTCAAGCAACAGGAGGTTTGCCTTTACAAGGAATGCGGCATCACGCCATGAGCCAGCTACTGCTCATGCATAGACAAGCGCCGTAGCCAATTTTTCTGAAACAAGATTAGCATCAACGTGTTCTCATGCCTTAGAGGAGAAGTAAAGCAGCCACCACTCTGTAAAAAGCCTCCCTCAATCTAGTTACGCACGAAGGGCTAGGAGCTGTGAAACTTAAGCCTTGCAATACTGGAGTTTAGGATATGGTTAGAAGTGCCATGGGGTCTTTACTGATTTCAAGCAGGTTTGGGATCATACCTTTCCCACTCATAGAAATGGTGCAATCTTCAAATTTTCCACGCTTTATGTCCCGCTTTGGCAAGCTCAGGTTATAGAATACGCTAACACTGCTGTGACTCAACTGGCACAACCACGCATCCCAAACAATCAATGAATTCTTGCAGAACCTTCACTGTTGCAAACCCTCCAACTGATGACCTTCCCAAAGCAACAGCCATAAACTCACTCATCACCAGTAAAGCTGGCAACAAGCGAAAGGCCAACTAAACTTCTGCACATATGACACTCCCCCCTGAAAACATTAGCCAACGAAACAGCACTGGTCTTTTGAAAAAGCAAATAGAGGTTGTCCACCCGGTGAACTCAGACACTACCATGTAGTATCAGCATGGCCAATAACATCAGCTACCTCTCAAAAATAAGCAGAGGCAATCCGCAGAGTAGTGGCCTGTTCTCTACTAGCTATCAAAAATGCTGCTGATACAAAGAAATATACAAGTTTTAATCTCACCACAGAAACTTACACCTAGCCTAAGATATTTTTAAGCTCACAGGAGAAAAATGGAAGCAGCCAACAGGGAATTTTCTCTTCTATCCTCTGTACCCATTGCTTTTTGTGATGATTAGCAGTAGAGAACTGTTCTGGGAGACCTGTAAGATATCGTCAAGTTGGCCTTTCTGATCAACAAACCTATTTAGTACCTTTGCTGTCACCCAGATGATTCTGGTAAAAAAGGAGGAGTTTGGGGAGGCTTGAGAAAGAGGAGGTTTCTGTTAATAAAAATTTAGGCTCGTACAAGGCCCAGAAGTAGGAGGCTCAAATCAGAGATTCCCAGAGTTGACTTAGAAAGGTCTCTAACAGGACAACTGCACAGACAGCTTTAGTAAGTGCTGCCTCAGCTCACCAAATCCAGAAATGGATCCACGACAGAGTGCAAGGGGATTCTGACATCTCTGGAGGTATCAGCACAGTCATTCTACACCCACCAAATACAATGGAGAGCTCCTGAAACAGGCAGGAACTTACCACCAGCAGCCTAACACAATTTCATTCTGTTCCCAGCTTCAGTGCACTTTGCAGTGGATCACCAAGAAGCCAATTTAAGCTACTTTCCTGCTCTACTATTTCAGCGCAACAAGCAACCCAGTCTCCACATGCTCGTCCCAGGTTCTACAGCTAGTAACCTGACTGCCGTACCAGTCTTTTACCATACAACAGGCACAGGAAGTATTAGCTTTAAAGCTGCGTTTGCCACCTGCAAATCACGCTTTTGCCCCTTACATGAGGGATTTAAAAAGTAAGAAGATGTTAAGCCCACGTTATCCTCGTGACAACTGCACAAATGAACCATGTTTTGTTACAGACAGGACTTTTCAGAAAGAAATATCAGAGTTCTGTGATTTATTATCTGAAATTCAACATTTGGGGGCCGGGGTGGAGGGGGAGGAAAAAAAGCTGTCAAACACAAAACCCTGGAAGGGAAAACAAGCTAATCTGCAAAACAGCAAAACCATCAGCTGAGGTTAGATAGGAGGCTGCATATGACAACAGCTTGCTGTACGCAGGGCAAAAATTGAAGATTGATTTCATTATAACACTCCACAGAAGTGAGCTCTCATCTGAGGTGAGGAAGTATGCAACACTTTTTAAAGACAAGGGCTTGTACAAATAAGATAAGTATTCCTCTTTAGGGTACATAATCACAAAATAATTTAAAAAAAAAAGATGACATTTTCGTTTTTATTATTTTATATTTGGCCAGGACTTTTAAAGGAAGGACTTTTAAAGGAAACATTAAACATTCACTTTTCTGTAGGTCTAGAAAGGATTCAGTCTTCCCCCACCCCCGCCTCCCATAGGATTTCTATTGGCCCTTCTTATATTCGCACTGCAAATTAGTTGGGAATAGCAGTATTTATACTAGATCAGCAACGTCTGGTTCTTATCCAAATGTTCCACCTAAAGAGGATGCCAGTTCTCATGGATTGGACAGCCCACCCTGCAGCATTCCTGAGAATTGTACAATATAATAATCTTGAAAGTCAGCAGAGTGGATTATCCACTTTTTTCTGGACTTGAACTTGTGACCTTAACAGTAGCACAGCAGAGAGCAAATGTGCTATGCACTTTGCCATAGTAACCTTCCATGTATTCTTTTCAACTTAAATACACACAATTGAAACAGCTACAATTTTGGAAAATTATGTACAAACCCTATATTTTTTCTTTTTGATTACATATAAATACAAATTAGCTATTCTTCTAAAAAGTGGTTATAATAGTAAATAAATACAAAATAAGAATCTGACCATTATACTTCATGTGCTGGGGTTAAACCCATATAAAATGTACAACTAAAATACATTTAAAATCTTTAAAGGAATATTTCTCTGATTAAAATATTTGTTTTCCCAACTTTTTCGTAGACATAAATATATTTTCAAAATAGTTGTGTTTTTTTTTCTTTCCATTTCATTACATAAATAAAGTCTTCATTGGGAAATATTAAAGTGTCAGCTTTTTTTTTTTTTTGTGTGTATTTGTCTAATATATTTGCTGTGTTAGCGGCACCCACAACCCTCCACAACCATATCTTGATAGTTCTTTAATACAACTTTTTCATTTTCATCAAGGTAGAGCATGGAAATAGCACTCAGTTCTGTCGGCACACAGCAAGCCTTGGGGATTTTGGAATTCACTGAATTGACCAAAGTCTGAACAATGGCATGGTTTGTTGAGTTTAGATGATCTGCCAGTGGAAAAGGACATTCCCCATGGCAGTAAAAGGCACTATACCCCGGTGGGGCAACAATCCAGTCATTCCACCCCACATCATTGAAGTCCACATATAACGGATGCCTTTTGCAACTGTATTTGTGGCGTTTACGCTGTTTGTGTTTCGCTTGACGCTTTTCTCTTTTATGAAGCGGGTGTCCCTTGCCATCATGCCCAAACGTTACTAATAATGGCCTGAGCTGAGACCAGCTATCTTCATCCTGATGTAAAGACCTGCTAATCCTAACGTGCCTCTTGGAGGCACTGTTCTCTTTGTCCAAGTGAACCACCTCTACCACAAACCCATGATTAGGTTGTCCATGTGCAATCCACCTCAAAACAGCTGGCGTTACATCAAAACTTTCCCATTTACTTGCATTATGATGCACCAACCTGGTGTCCAAAAGTCTTGTGACAGGGTCCTTAGAGGTGGCTGTGGCTGGCTTTATAATTTCATAAATATTAATACGGTGATGGTAGTTGCTGTTGTTCTCAAAGGCTCCGTGCACCTGTTTCCGAAAAATCTGGAGTTCAGCTGAGGTGATAGACTCCTCATTAGGGATGGAAGTTAAATTAAAGAAGAAACGCCGTGCTGTTTTCCCACTTGTTTCTGGCAGTTCTTCCAAAACTTCTAATTTGATTAAACAGGAAAAATAAAAAAAGAGAAAGAAAGAAAAAAAAAAAAATCAGGAACTGAGACAAGCAACCAAACCCCTCAGCTAGTCTGCTGTTGGCAACTTTCAAATGACAGCTAACATGTGTGACATACAAGATCTGAAAGACTTTCAGGCAGAAAATACCATCTCCCTTGTCTTTCTGTTTATTTATGCAAGCATGTATCGCATGAAGTTAAGAATGCTTCATTCATTGTTATGCGTTTGGATTGAATACTGGTGCCCTTTGCATTCCAGGTGGTTATAATAAGTGGCAAGAAACACGCAGCATTACTTTGGAATTTAAGGACATTAGTGAGAAAACTCAAGCACTATAGTTAGCGGGACTGTGATGAGAATCATTAAAACTGATTGAGGACTTAGGGTAACTATTGCATTTCTGCTTTTTTCAAGAATATGGCTCTAACATCAATCCCTTAAACACCATTCTGAAAAATATTACTCTGCAATTTAGGTGACTTACAAACCTTAATGTACGGATTTTTGTATCTTAACTGGAGATGGTGAACTCAACATCTGTAATGGCACTTTACGAAGCATGCCCTAGTATTTACCCAAAAGGACCACAAAGAGTGGCAGGAAGGTTCAACTGCTAAAAAGGGGTGGATGGTAATAATGGCATAATGAAACAAAGTCGCTTCTGAACAACAGAATTTTCAAAACCACAAAAAAAAAAAAAAGTCACTAAAGCCCAGGCCATTGT